AAAATTAAAGGGCAAAACACTTGGGGAACATRCTTTATTTAAAAGAACGTTGGAGGATCCAACGTAAAGCAGAGTAATGCAACATTGCGGTAAGAACAGGAAAGTAATTCCAGGAACAGAAGTAGCAGCTTAGCCCGATTTTCAGAAATGCATTGTTACAAATTACTGTGACATATCCTGAAGTGTCCTCGGGGCTTTTACTTCTGCCTATCCCTTTCCTCAGATGCAAGTTTATGTTTGCTCCCTGAGCCCACGGTGCTTGCCATGGAATAAAGCCAGTTTATGTACCCATGGTAAAGAGCTAAACTGTAAACTCCTACTATCTTTCCAGGAATTAGTAGATGATCATGCATTTACTAGCTCTCTATGTAAAATGCCTTTCCATTTCCTCCAAGACTTGCCAAACTCCATCTGTTCAGTGCTTTAGGGTCTGTGAAATGAGAGCTCCACTGTCACATGGGGACTAAGGGGAAAAGCAGGTGCCAGCTTGTGAGAACTCCTGATCCAGAATTTGCCCACAGAACAGTACAGAAACAGAGGCAGATTCCTCCAGCATGCCAGGTTTTAAATTACAGGAATTGCTCCCTTCCTGTGTGCTGTGGCTCTGCAGATTCAGGGCACATCTTTGAAGGTGTCTGAGGAGCACAACGTTTGTAGTGGGTGGCCATTACTGGAGCAGAGCCCAGGACTAGGGGAGAGATGCATTCTTGTTGTGATCAGAACCTTTCCTCTGGCACTGGGCCTGGAGTGCAGGGCTGGCCCTGGCAATGGCCTTAGAAAAACAAACATTTTAGTTCTTTTCCTCATTGGCACAAATAAGGACAAWAGATGCCTGAGGAGCTCCAGAGGACACATCTGAAGGACCTGTATCTCCACAGGATACAGGGAAAGCAGTACAAATATTGGTCCTGTCCTGGGAAAGGCTTTYGCTTACCTCTCTCATTCTTGGGTGGGTGTGGGAAGGCTGCTGTCCTGCACATAAATAATTAGTGTCACAGGTCAGATACACTCTTCCTGTCATCAAGAGACTAGGTCGTTTAGGGAACCAAAAACTGTTGTGAAAACAAGTAAGCTCCCTCCCTGCCCAATTTCCTGTGCAAGATTGAGCAATTTGGGTCAGAAAAAAGAACCCCAAGTGTCTCATGACTGGTAACAGACCTCAGCACCCATGGAAAACCACTTTGCCCTGGGCCCCAGTGGATTGCATCTGGCCCTGGGTAACGGGCCTCCAGTGCTGATGGAGTGTGTGAATTGTTTGCCTGCCAAGTGTTCTGAGCTAACACTTCACTTGCTGTAGGAAATCAAGAGCTAATCAGATCATTTCTTTGCAGCAGAACTGGAAAGGCTGGAGGAAGGAATAATATAATGTCTATAACCCCAATTTAAATAAATAAGTACAAAGATACGGAAGAACTTTAACCTTTTTTTTTCCATATCATAATGCCCATGCTGACAGTAGCCGCCTGCTATCTGGAGCCTCCTGAGCAAGACTGGGTGTCCACAGRCACATGCAGTCAGTCAGAGAATACTAAACTGAATGCACAAGGTCACTGACTGGCCAGTTCTGTTCTCATATAGGAAGCCAGGGCAGACCATAGTGCCCTTTGGCCGTAATGCTGATCTGGTGGAGAGAGGCAGAGAGAGTGCTGAGGCACTGACAATTTCTCTTCCTTCCCTTCCCTACTTTACTCATTCAACATCAGGAAGAAAAGACTCATAATAACTACTCCCAGACATCTATCGAGTATGGATCCCAGCAGACCACATGAGTAAGAAGGGATGAAGGGATCAGAGATGCAGATCTCCTTTGACAGAAGTCAAGGAACTCCAYGGACTGCATCCCTTACAGCCACTCAAAAGCTTGTTCAGCTCAGACTCTCTACACAGGACCAGGTAAACTGCTTAGAAAAGCCACCTGATGACATTCACAGCTCACTCTGTTCTTTACAGGTCTTTTAGAAGTCCCTTACAGCTTTCATACTGGATCCACTGTGAGAGCTGGATGGATAGAGAGCAGGGACTGTGCTATCTGGACGGACACAATGGGTAATTTTGGTGCACTCAGCTTCTAGCTGCTCACTGCAGAGGCTCAATGGCACAGTTCTTTCATGTTAAAGCAGATCATCTGGGCTGTTCTCAGTGCCCATGAGAACATCAGAGCCCAGACAGAAGGTGCTCTGCTGCCACATTACTGCAGGTTCCAGTTCTGCTCATTGCATGTGATAGAAGAAACGAGCATTCATTCTTCTGTCTAATGGGGAAAAGAAAATGTAAAATCCTGGTCTTCTCTTGTGTCCCCAGGTGTCTCTTCTTGAGGAAAGATGAATGAATAATTCACACCTCTCCATCTGCAATCAGAACAGGCTGAGTGGCCCTAAGAGATCCTAATGGCATCCTCTTGGTGAATGGTGGCCTCAATCACCGTGTCTGTTGTTTGTCTGGAGCACTTTCGACTCCCTTTCATGCTTTTCAGGTTTTCTGAAAGATGCTTCTGGAACTTCTTGGTGAGGAAGCAGTAGATGATCGGGTCCAACACACAGTTTGTACTCAAGAGGCACAAAGTCACCTGGTGAGCATCATTGAGCTGTTGGCGCAGCTGACAGTCTTCCTTCTTCCATTGCTCCAGAACAGTCAGGGTCCAGGGCAGGTCCACGATGTGATGGGGTACAAAGCTTATGATGAACACAGCCAGCACGGTGCACACCATCCAGAGAGCCCTTTGCTTGACATGAGCACTCTTACGTGGATGCACTGACTTGGAGAACAAGGTCCTGATAATGACAATGTTCCACCCTAATATTAAAAGGAAAATTATATAGAAGAGGACGCAGATGACAACATGAATGGCGAGAACAGCTGAAACACCASTCGAAGTGTCATAGCGCTCAAAGCACCGTGTGAAATTCCTGGAGTCGATCTCCTCCCGGTTTGTATTATTGTCAAAAAGATAATACAAAGAGCTGCCCACTATTATGATCCAGATAGCTGCTGATAGGTAGAYACCTCTTCTCTGGGTGGTGAGCTGAGCTGCTTTAATAGGATTAGTTACAGCTTGGTAGCGGTTGTATGTGATGACCATCAGAAAGGCAACAGAAGAGTAGGTATTAACAAAAAATAAACAGCCAGCCACATTACAGAGGAACTCAGGCATGATCCAGTCTCCATGGTGGTGGTAGTAAACAATCCACATTGGCATTGTAATTAAGAAAAGCAAGTCAGCTACTGTCAGGTTCACCATGAATATCTTGATTTCATTGAGTTTCTTGGCGGGGTAAATATGGCTGAAAATCCAGAGAACATAGCAGTTGGCAACAAATCCCAGAATGAAAATAATGCTATAGAAAACAGTGAAAAGGTTGTAGCGAAACTCGGAGTCTATGTGGCATGAAATGTAGGAATCAGCACTGCCTTCTGCACCCCCTTTGCCCTTTCCAGACATTGTGGTGTTGAGTGGGCACGTCTGAAGCACAATTTCCTGCTGAAGCTCTTCTTCTTACCTAAAAATAGAAGTATAAATTGAGATGATTGGTTGGACACCATTGCTTAGCCAAACCCCACCTTTCATTTTCAKCTGTCTGTGACCACAGGAGTTCTGCTGATGCCTTAGTTCCAACCAGATACTTTCCATGTCTCCTTGGTCCTCTCTTTGATCCCATTTCCACACCATACAAACCTCTATGTCTGCATTGTTTACTGACATATGGGATTATTCCTCCACAGGCACAGGACCCTGCACTTGCCATTGTTGAACATCACTGGATTCCTCTCCAGCCTGCCCAGCTCTGGATAAATGGTAGCCCAGGGCTGCTGTATCACCACAGCTCTGTACCCTCAGCCAACTTGCTGGGCATAGTAATTTCCAGTCACCATCTACTTGTCRTTTTCTGAAATTTTCCTGCTTACACTTGTAGAGACTGTGTTTATTTCCTCAGCTTCAGGTACTGCAGCCTCCCAACATTCTCCTCACAGGCCACTGGACCTCTCAGTTATTGTACTTAGTGAATAATGTAAAAGAGGATTTGTGGTACATTGTTAATTCTCTCCTCAGGGTATCTCTCTTAAAATCTTGGCTGTTGGAACTCAAGTTGTCATCAAACCAACCTGGCCCCCTTCTCCCCTTGCCCCATTTCTTTGTCAGATGCAAGAGGCAGCAGAAATTCTGCACTTCCATGTCAGGCTTTTGGCAAACAGAGACACCTTCAGGGTTTGRTATTACCAGTCTCCATCTCAGTGGGGATTTCTTCAACTCCTGCCCACAGTYTGAACATGCAGTCAATCCCTCCCTGGAAATGTCCAAGGAAGGGCTGGAWGAGGCTTGGACCAACCWGGTCTACTGGAAGGTGTCCCTGCCYATGGCAGGGGGTGGAATGAGACAAGCCCAAACCAGTCTGTGGTTCTGTGATTCCATATGAAATTTCTGCAACCTCAATATTGTACATGTCCCTCTCTCAGTTTTGCATGAATCCAATCTAATCCCTTGTATACTTTTACCTGCTGATTTTACCTTTCAGAGGACAGGAACACAACCTGTTCCTGACTCCAGCACTGACTCCCTGTGTGATGCTGGGCAMGTGCTTACATCTCCATGACATGATCCTGCAGGTCTGCATGTGTTTCTCTCCCTGTCCCTTCATGGAAAGACACATGGCTGCTGCAGGGAGAGCAGTGGGAGAGCCCTCACTGAAGCTGCTTGCTGGGGCTGAGGTTTTAATGGAATTTACAGAACACAGTGGTTTACCTTGAGAGKGARTAAACTCTACCACCAGTCATGAAGMCTAAACTGGAACGAGTTATGCTGAGCATGYTTGGTGCTGCTCAGTGTGCTGGGCTTATCTCAGCTGCACCAGCCCCATGGAGAACAGGCATTTCCCTAAAGACGTGCTGCTCCTGAGCAGGTTCCCTCCTGCCTCAATGTTTTCTGGATCCTCTCCAGCAGCAGACAGTGCCAGGAACCCCCATCCCACCCTATGTGGGCTGAGTCCGTGTGGGTGCCCTTGTGCTGTTCTTCCTCATTTACACATTTGCACATTTGCAATTTTCCTCTGCAAATGGGGAAGTCAGCTGGAGCTTGCCCTCCCTTTTTCCAAGGAACCCTTGGWACTGCTCTTCAGTCATTAGGAGAGGAAGGCAGCAGTCATCTTCCTGAGGGTCCTGCCCTTCCTCAYCCCTCACAGGTCCCCTAAGGACACAAGAACTACAGTCTTGGATCTTCCCAGGCAGCTGCATGCTGGACGGTGCTGGGCTCCAAGCCCTTAAGCTCAGTCTTYTGATGCCTTAGGATTTTTAGTTTCTATATTTTCATGCATCTGTATTCTTGCAGTTCTCTAGTACAACACCAAAACTACCATTCTCCCATCTTTAGACAAAATAATCCCTCTCTGACCCTGAATCCAAGGACACCTCGCTGCCTCAGAGCCACAAAATATGGAAACAACAGCAAGTTGGGGAGAGCAAGTTTGGGGTGGTTGATATCATCACCTGTAAAGATCATTGGAGAATTAAGGCCCAATATGTTAATAAGGCAGAATTTATATAAGGTGAAGATCTCGTGACTCTGTGTCCATTTTGGGTGTAGCCTCAGGAGGAGGCTTTTGTCTGCCCTAATGTACCAGGTGGCCTGTTAGGCCTTTATGAAAATTGTCTATTCTCATTCTCTTAAGTTTGTCTGCCCTCCGTTTCAGATTAGCCTGATTGATAAGGCATCACTTCCAGCCAGATCTGTGTGGAACAGACACACAGCCATGGCAGTAATGGGAGCTAGCCTCAGCTGACACATGTATTTCTTCTCATCCRCCTTGATCTCTGCCACCCTGCTGAGAACCCCCTGATCTCCAAAGGGCAGTAGATTATTCAGGTGGTGATAGACAGGAGGGTGGTCTAGGATGTGACACATCAGGGTCCGTTCACAGAGTTTGGCACATCCCTGTGTCACTCACTGCTGCCCTGTGGAGGGGATCCAGAGCTGGCAGGGCCCWCTCTCTGTGCCCTATTCTCATTTGATTTGTGCAGAACACAAGGCAAGTCCTGGTCATCTCAGGGATCAGCTTGCACCCCCCATCTGTGATGGATGAAATGGTAATTGTCACAACGTGGCCTTGCATCACTGTCTGTACCTCAGCCCAGCTCTGCCACCCTCTGAGGGGCCAGCTCCACTGAGGAGATGTGCCTGCTGGCAGAATTTGCATCTCAGTTTGGGAGGGCACCAGGCAAAGATGGGGAAGGGGTGAGACTGCAGAGACAAGCCAARCTAGTGGGGAGTGTTATGTTTGATACACTAGTCTGACATTAGAACAAGGAATGAAAACCTTAGAAGTCATAATTTCCTAGTTGTTAGAGAACTTCTTTTTCTTTTTTTTTTTTTTTTTCAAACCTGCATCATAAACTCACACTGCTGTGACTATCTGCAACATCAGCAAACAGTTCTGGTGTTTAGGGCTGGGATCTTTGCAATGAAAGGTGCTCTATTACTGTGGTCCCCGACCTGAGTACACCCAGAGTGCAGGGGTAGAAACCCCAGGAAATGCATCTCTCTAGGAGGACTCATGAGGAGGAGAGAAGTGTTCCCATCCAGTACGTGGGCACAGTTGTTGTTCACAAAGTCCCTTCAGACAGTGCTCAAGGGCACTGTCCACCCACACCTCCATTTCTGGTACTGCACAATGGCATGGTGGCTTCCAAACTTTGCCCAGGAGCTTTGATGAACKTTACTGGTCTCCAGGCTGTACACTAGCTGCCAGATTTAACAGATGGGGTGGAAGGGAGAGCGAAAATGCATGTCCCCTCCACGGCAGAGTCCTGCACAGAAGGTGGGCTTGAGCCACAAGCTGTGCTCTGAAATGGAGAGGTGAGAACATGCTCTGTGACTGCTTGCAGCCTGCTGAAATCTCAGGCAAAGGTTGTCTTGGGAAATGGCAGTGCCATCTCCTGGCCCCAGCTGCACCTAATGGGGCTCACCTATCTTTGCATTAGGAGGCTGTGTTGTGCCAATGACAGGGTCCTGCAGGGAATCGAGAGAGGTGTCATTCCCTTCTCATGAGCCGAGTGAGGTGTTCTATTAAGCTCAGCTAGAAGGGAGCACAGCATCATTCCCCACGGAATTTACCCAATGCCCCATTTGCTTTTCAGCCTGAGGAACCCAAGCTCATSTATCTGTATGCTTGTGAATGCCCTGGCCCTGGAGCACTATGTGGGGCTCTCACCCCGCCTGTCCTGTTGAGGCAGTTCCCCTTTCTCTGATGCCCGTTCGTACTGCCTGTGCCAGTGAGCACGCACCACAGGCAGGGTATGAGTGCCTGTGGCTCCTGTTCTCTGCTGCAGCAGCCTGTGTTGCATGGCCAACCCCTGAGACCTCCAGCCCAAGCCACTGCCTTGTCCACAATGCCCCAGCCAGGAATTCCAGGTGGTTTTACCATCAGCTCCACTGGATGCAGGGCTGAAGGTGGAAGGAGCCAGATGAGCAGCAGAGCAAGGCCAGGGCACCTGCAGATCCTGCTCCCAGTCTATGGACTCTCCCATGGACCATGCCCTCCCAGTCAGGATTTACTGGCTTATAGATGCAAGCAAGCTCTGGCCATCAGCAGGAGTATATTCCAAGAGCAAAAAAATGTGTTTTATTTTAAAGTATAAAATAGTAAGGTATATTTTCTGCTTACCAGGGTTGAAAAAATTCAGCACAATATGTCCATCTTCAGCCTTAGTAGTAGCGAGGGTTTCACTGAGGGTGTTTGGCTGTCTCCCAGATGTTATTTTCTCTGCCCTGTGGCTGGACAGTCTCYGCACTGGCAGCTCTTAAGAACAGGGCACCAGAATGGGAGCAACTGTAGCATGACTGCAGAGTCACTGGAGAAGAGGAAATGTGTGACATCAGCTAAAGGAAATGAGAAATAAAATAAGCTGTAGAGGAAAGACAGTTAGCCACAGCAAAGGTCTGGAAAGTCCTTAAGGCTTTTTCCACCGAGTGTCTCTGATGATCCCGAAAGAGGGCAAAGTTGGGATTTTCCTCTAAAGGAAAGGAATCCACTGTGTCCCCAGTTAGATTCGGGATTAGACAATTTTTGAGTATCTTTCTCCCAAACAGATGAGTGGCAGAAGAGCTTCCACTTAATAACTTCCATGAAAGGAAGAGACAGGAAACTCATATATGGACAGACTCATTCCCTAGCAGCCTCCTTCACACTTGTATTGGAACTAATCAGACCCAACCATCCCAAGTCTCCTTTTATCTCAGTGATCTTCAGCAGATACTGACACCACAGCAGGGCAGTTTCTCAGCARTTCTATGTGGTTTCCGTTACCTGTGGCAGCCCAAAGCTCACTCAGCTTGGCAATGCTGTTGTGGGGTGCTCAGGGAGACACCAGGGGCAAGCAAAGCTGCACACATGTCCCAGCCCAGCTGTAAATCCCYGGCTGTAGCTCCCATGGTAATGGTTAACCTGCCCTCCATGTCCTCCACTGCTCTTACACCTGCACAGATGTGAGCAAAAACCTCGCACCCGACACACCTACAGGAAGCAGAGCCCTGAGTCTGGTGCTGGGGGTCACTGTGAAACACACTGAACAGACCACAGAGTCCATCAGCAGGACTAAGGGTGTCTGAGCCTGGCACAAGGCTGCCAAAGAATGATGTGGGCTCAAGCAGCAGCAGCAGGAGAGGTCAGAAGAGGCTGCACAGGAGCTCCTCTGGAAACGCTGGGAGAAGCTCTCCACCTTTTCTCAGAAAATGCCACCTATGGTRAACGTTCCACAGAAGATCCTGGCCATGTCCATGCTGTGGGGCCACCAGAGACCCCCATGGTGTAGCTTCATGTCCTGGGAGCTGCAGGGATAGGCTGAGGGTTGTGTGCCCCAGGTCTCACCATTGAGGACACCAGCCAAACTTCTCCAGGAGCAAGGAGCTGGCACAGACTCTGGGACACTTTCATGTCACACTTCTGTTGCTGTCTGGCTCTGAGCTGAGATAAGGCAATGTCCTCATCAGCAGAGGAGATGGGTCACTGACAGAGGGGCTAAGGAAGACAAGCAGCAGTGCTGCTCTACGCTGGCTCTTGGCTCACCTGGCCCCAGGCATCCCAAGGWTCTGGGCTGCACAGCACCATGCCAACCCCATGCCAGAAGCCACCTGTTATCCGTGCCAGTGCCTGGCCTGGATGTCTCCAGCCAGAGGCAGCCAAAGCCCCAGCACCAGTCTGGGCTTCTTTGCCTGGGCTGGCTCTTCCCTGGCTCCTCTGCAGAGGGTGCAGGCAGCCTTTCCCAGGGCCACTTCAGAGGAAACACCCGGTGAGATGTCCAGCACAGTGCTCTGTAGGTGTGCATRCAGGTGCCAGGCAGCTCCCAGGAGCCACGGATCAGCTCCATCCAGGCTGGATACATGCAAGTGCTCTGCAAACTGCAGGACAAACTGTGTCCTGCTGCTCTGAGCCATGCTCAGGGAAAGCTCCAAGACACCTTGAAGTCCATGGACACCACAACTGGCACCACAGCTGGACATGTCTGAGCTGCTGTGGGGTCAYTCCAGTCTCCCACGACAACACCACAGGATGACCAAGGTATTTGGAAGCCCCCTCAGAATGTGAGGGAGCCCCACAGCAAAAGCACCCCATGGAATTGGAGTCTCAGCAGGGTGGGCTGGCATGGAATAAGGGACAGCCAGGCTCTGTCTCCTGTCAGGCCACTCCAGGGTGAGCTGAGGCTCCTGCAGTGATGCTCCAGAGCTATGCTGGAATGGAGGCTGCAGCCTCCTTCCCTCTGCCAGCAGCCATCCTCCCTCCTTTCCCCTTCCCATCAGCCGTGTGAGGATGAAGGAGCCTGACCCTTCATGCATAGACAGAGCCCCAGCTGTGCTCATTAGGCTGAGTCTGGGGGTTTGAGCTTAAAGACAAACAAGACCTTGCTACTGAGGCTGGCAGCCACATCTGTGGGGAGAGCAGCCAGCGATGTCAGGGGGAAGGRGAGTGCTCACAGGGGATGGAGCAATACTTGACAAATTTTGCCTCACTGTCCTGCCGCAACCCAGCCCTTAGAGGAAATGAAAGCCTAGGGGGTTTTGCGTGGGGAAGGAACCTTCAGAAGTCTTCATGCTACCTCTGCTCAGCCCTGCAGCACGGCCATGCTGCATCAGCAGGTCCCACTGCCCCCATACATTGCCCACAGCCAGCTCCTCCCTTTCATTCCCTTCCCACATGGGACCTTCTTTCCCTGCTCTCCTGGCGCTGCTGCCCATTGCTGAGGGTGGAACTTTGAGTCCAGTATTAAGATTAATTTTGCCTGTGGAGGCTGGGCTCATTCTGCACTCCTGGCAGTCTGACTGCCCTGTGCTCAATGCTATTTCCTGCTCTTCCTGCCCGGGGGATGCACACACTGGCAGACAGCTCTRATAGTCATGCAAGGCTGAGTTGAGAAAAAATCCTATCTTGAATATGCCTTTACTTTCATCAAGTCAACTTGCAATTTAATAAAAAAAAAAAAATTCCTTTTACTGATTCCCATAGATGCTGTTAAGGAGCACTGACAGTCCTTCAGGTTGTTGTTTGTCCTTGCTGGATCCCAGAGCAGCTGTTCCCAATGCCACTGTCTGGGGATAACCCCACACAGGTGACTTTTGGGCAATGGCTGTTCCCCATGGGTCTGACACCCAGCAGCTGCAGGGTGTAAGCACCTGTAAGCACCACCTGCCTCTGGAATGTGTCCTTGGGGTTGTTTCCTTCTCACACAGAGCCTGTTACCAACACAGCTTTGGATAACCACATGTAAATTTTGGAGGGATCAGAAACTCTATGTTTTATAAGCAAATATCCAGASATGTCTTCCCATGACAAGCCACATTGTATTATCAGAGAAGAGCTCTCCGAGGAGYGCAAATGGAGGAGCAGCATTTCAGCTGATGAATCTGGAACTGCCCTGCCCTGTCAGTGACATGAGCAGCAAAAAAGGACAAGAAATACCAACATAGAGCTTGTGACAACACCAGCCACTGGCACACAGATGAGCTCAGTGCCTGCTGGTTCCAGTCCCCAGGACACGTTCTTGAGTGCCAGGACGGGTTTTTGAAAAAGCATTAAATTCTTTCARAGGTGCAGCACATGTGGAGCTGGTGTTGAGAGTTACTGTCTGCGAGTTCCCACTACCCACGTAACAAACCGCAACATTTTCTTTTCCTTGTTGCAGGAAAGAAATACTGAATAAACTCAGCTTGCCCCATCACGAGCACTTCAGAGCTGAGCACAGGTGTCCCCACCTTGTTACCAACCCTGCAGGAATGTGCCCTGGAGCTGAGCTTGCTCAGCAGGAAAACACCGACCCATCGACCAGAGGCCACTCCTGGGGCAGTGCACTCCCTGGTACCTTCTGACAGCTGTGAAGGTAGGCCATGGCTTCTGCTGCTGGCTGTCCCAGGGGATTGCTCAGAGTGGCAGAGAATGTCACTGCTGGCAGATGGAGAGCCTCACCAGCMGTGGGTGAGGCAGGCAGCAGGGCAGCCTCCAGCTGCTGTTGGTTCCCGAGCCCAGCCCTGCTACACTGGGCAGAGGGGTGAGTTCATGTGCCCGTGTCAGGATTTGTGTGCTACAGCTCCAGGCTGTCACAGCTCTGCTGGAAGCAAAAGCCATGTAGGGACACTGCTCCTACTGCTCCCTGCTGCAGTGAGACACCTCCTACCACAGCTGCCGGCCCTCTGCCCCATCCCCTGCAGCATGAAGGGGATGAGGGACCTGACCTCCTTGAGAGGCTCCAGGCATTGCCTCGGAGGAAGGTCCTGTCAGGGCTCCTCACCTTGCTTCACAGCGTCCAAGCAAAAAGCAGGGTTGTTGTCACTCAAAGCTGGAATGAGACATGGGTGAGAGCAAACCCCATCCCCACAGACCCAAAGGCAGCACCCACCTGACTCACACTGTCTCGATGCACCTCATCACCTCATCACCTCATCCCTGCTTGCTGGGCCTGGGGAACAAGGAGAATCTCCCACGCTCAGTTTGGGAGGATGAAGGTGTCTCCAAAGCCCTCGGTGCTGCCTGAGATGCCATGGCTCAGAGATTCATGGGCAATGTGGAGCCAGCCCATCTCCTGAGTTACTCAGACATAGAAGGAGCTTGTGGAGCTTAGGGAGGGAGGCCTGGGAGAGCAAGCAGAAGGGAAAGGAGCATCTTACCTGGGGGTCACAGAGCACCTGCTCCATCTCCGTCACAGACYCCRGCCCGCCWGCTCCCTGCCGCCAGTGCAGACACYGCAGGGTTGAGCYCTCAGTGTGCTCCTGCTCGGGAAGAGGCTCCGACGGGAAAGAGGGCGTCGTGCTGGCTCCCAGGTGAGTGACTCACTTCCCTCTTGGCTCTTGTGACACACTTAGCCGTGCCCTGCCTGCACCCTGAAGCCTGACACCAGTTCCTCTGGTCCKTCCTYGGGCAGGCAGTGGAAGGGACACAGYAGTGGAAGCTCCATTATGGTCAAGGGTTTGTCATGTTCTTGTGGCACTGGCCAGAGGTGGGGTAGCCCAGCCCTGGAGCAGCTCCAGGCCAGGGKGACTCCCTGCTCAGGCCAGGGRCACAGAGGTGSTCTCAGCTCAGGAAGTGGTGGGGGCCAGTGCCCTCGCCAGATCTGTTTTCTGGGCTCATTTCTTTCCAGATCCCATGTCAGGAGGCAGCACAGAGAGTGCTCATTCCAAGGCTTCCAYGGGACGTGGAGATTCAGCAGGCACAGTGCCAGGAAGGGCACTACTCTGCTCTGGGAGTCCCTACATCAGAAAACATCAGCCAGAAAATACTCCAGACTGTGGTAGCTCATTCCTGTACCCCTTCTGCAGCRCTACAAATCCACCTTGGTCCTTCAGCCAGGTAAGAAAGGGTGGTCATGGGGGACCCACTCCTTCCTGCTGCTGCTGGCACTGCTCTGCCCAGGTTTCACAGGGGGTTTTCCCAGAGTTCTGTGGCTGTGGCATCAGGTCATGGGTACAAAATCTGCCTGAGTCACTCATGGTATGAAAAGAACTCACACGTGTTTCTGTCTGCTCCCTTTATGTGCCGTGGGGTGTTTAAAAAGGAAATGGTGTTGGGGTTTCTTTGCTGGTAAGAATTGGCTCTGCTTTTGGCAGGAAAGGAAGTGTGAGGCTTCTAAGACAGTCCTGAAAGGCAAGACAGTCACAACCCGTAGGTGCACAAAACACTGCTGCCAGAAGGAACTGGCTGTCTGCATGCCCWGAAGCTCCCCAGGCACGCAACTGCAGAACTGCAGCAAATATCTCAACTTCCCAAACAACCAACCAACCTGCACCAGTTGAACCATGGCCTTTCCCAACAGAGAAAGTTGCCAGCCAGGCTGKGAATAAGGCAGCCAGGCTCTGCCCGGAGCAGAGCCAGAGAATGAGGACAGTTAACATCCCCTCTGTGTCAGACTGTTTCCACTGCACTTGGAACASTGTGGGCAGCTTCAAAGGGATGTGGAGAACTGCAGAGGCAGAGCTGGCACCACATCTGAGCTTGGGGCACARATGGAACAGCCCAGAGGCAGAGGCACCATCTGATCACTGCCTGCAGCTGCTGCAAGTGAAGCTGCAGAGGACAGGCATGAACTCTTCTCAGTAGTGACAAATGGTATGACAATGGGCAACAACCACAAACTGGGATGCAGGACAGTCAGGATGGATGTCAGTGAAATATTTTCACTACAGGGGGTATTCATCCCTGGGAGAGAAACCCAGGGAGGCCAGGGGTCTCATCCTTATGCTAATAACCTCACCTAGCATTAGTGACAGCCTCACCTCAAACACAAGGTCTAATTAAAGGCTTACAGAGCTCCTTCCCCAAAACATTTCAGTTCTGTGATTTGAACTGCAACACTAACACCTGTGCATTATCTTCCTTTACAGGTGCCCATMCTGTAATCAAAATACACCCCTGCAACTCTGTTCCACCTGAAACACTGTTACAAAAGTGCCCACAGTGTCCCTGCTGCTGCAGAACAGCTGATTATCCTGAAAAGGAAATGTGAATGCAGCAGGCAGCCAGAGATGCCAGGAATGCCTACCAGAGCCCATTTCATGGCCCTGAATGGGCTGCAGCAGAGCTCTGCTACAAAGACCAAACTGCTCCAAGGTATGTGTCTGTAAGTCCAAAACCCTGCAGCTGGTGTGACAGGAAGGCTGCTGAGCCTCCACAGGGAAGCCAGGCAGCTCAGCTACATCCCAGATCAATGTGTGAATGGTGGTCACTGAGATCCAAGAGGGATCCTAGAGGAGCAGCACCCCCAAATATCTGCCCCTTCTGTGCACAACACGAGGGGTTATGGGAGCTGCACCTGCCACGGAGCACAAGGAGGGGAAGGCAGGGGAGCCTCATCAGCAGGAGATGTGCTGCCAGGAGTTCTGAGAAACAAAGCTGGGGAGGTTCCCAACACAGGGCCAGGCTGAGCACACCGTGCTGAGGCACAACACAGGGGACAATGCCCCTTTTCTGCTGGTAAGAATCTTAGAMTATTCTGAGTTGGAAGGGACCCACAAGGATCATTAGTCCAATGAGGCCCTGCCCAGGACAGTCCAGCAATCCTGCTCCTGGGAGCACCCAAACCTTCCTGGAGCTGGCAGCCTTGGAGCTGTGACCCCTTCCCTGGGGAGCCTGGTCAGTGCCCCATCACCCTCTGGGGCAAGAACCTTTTCCTGATATCCAGCTTAAACCCACCCCATCATAACTTCATGCCTTCCCTCAGGTCAAGGAAATCCTAGGAGTGTAAAACTCAGCTACCAGAGCAGGGGAGGYCTGGCTCACACTGCCGTTTGCAGGAGGAAAAGACAAGACACCAAATCTCTTAGATAACAACGGCTATCACCCAACCCTTTCCGAGGGAAACTGTCTACATTAAGGCCAGCCTCCCACAGTTCCTCTCCAGTTGTTTTAAGACAAAAACTAGTAAAAGAAACTCATCTGGAAGGCAAGGAAAGCAGAAGCCATGGATGTCTCCCACCTGGATCCCTTCATCAAGCACATCACTGCAGTTAATGCCCAGAACTAGTTACACYCTGAAATAAAACAGCACACAGTGAAAGAGCTGTTCCTGTCCAGGGAGAAGGGKTTGATGGTGAATTCCGAGCACATCCCTGTGTTTGCCAAACAAAGATAAATGTTAAATGACACACTGGTTTATGTCTTATCAAGAATAGATTTAATCTCTAGCGGATCCCACAGGTGATAACTCAGTCTAGCCTTTACTGAATAGCTTTGCTACCTGGTGAAATCTAGATCTCAGCTTGTCTACACACTCAGAGAAGCCTCTATTCCCATTCCTTAACTCAGTACACCAGACAGGAAGGTTGTGTCCCACTCCCTTTATCCACATGAGATGTTTCTGTTGCAGTTGACCTTTTCTATTCTCCTTCCCCATCCCACGAGTGCTGAACAGCTGATACACCCTCGCAAGTGCACAGGGAGGGGAAGGCAAGCTCGCTGCTTCAGACTGGGACAAAGAGCTTCAGAAGTGACCTCTGGACACCCAGAAAACAAAGCCAAACTTTAGCTGACCCCCCTGTACATTCTCTGGGAACTGGACACAGAGGAAGAGTTGTTTCCCCAGGAAACCAAAGCCAATACACTACTGAAAGGCTCTTCTGCAACTCTCTGGTATTTCTTTCTCCTTCTGAAAGAAGACAAAATCACTCCCCATTTCCAGCAATGCATTTTCTTGTCCTGCACATTAAGGACAAATAATTGAGTTTACTGACCCCAAAAAAGCTCCAGTAAGTAACAATCCCTCTCTCTACACATCTTTACCTCTTGATATTAAACAACATTCTATTCAATCCACCCCACTGCTGTGACACGTGTGGCAGGGACCAGGCAATGGCCCAGCCTRCATCTGTGGGAATCCACACTGTGCACTCACTTATTTCCATGTAGGCAATTCAAACGAGTTTACTTCTACAAAAGATACAAAGATCAGAATTAACTTCCCACGTTCCCTCCAGTGGAGCAGAGAAATACCCAGCAAAGGCTCAGGTACTCCCCAAGCACCCCTGGCAGATGGGAAGTTTCTCAGGACTTGGCTGGGTAGATAAGACAGAGAAACTGCAAATTCAGGCATAGAAGCATATCATAGGCAGGGCAGGAAGCCAAGGAAAAAGGAWTAGCTAAATTGAGCATGAAACAGTGCTGTTGCAAGCTACCCATTCCAGCCAGAAACAACATTTCCAGCTGAAAACAACTCCAAGCATAAGCCCATGGACCTAGCTAGAAATGCYTTCATAGGTGAAGAAGAGGCAGACAGGTTGGAGGGGCAGCACATCCTCTGGGCACTCAGAAACTGCAGTTGGAAACACTGATGGTGTGAGCTGATACAAAGGCATCACCAGCCTGTTACTTTCTAAGTAATGTCTTGCCCTTGTGCGTTCATCTTCAGTAATCTATTTAGCAGGTTACACCTTGCAGGACAAGTAAGGTGAAGAAACCACATTCCTGTGTTCACACAGAGAATAGGAACTGCACTCTGCTGTGTTAAGAGCTATTTAATATATAAAGCACCAAAATACCTTCATTTTATAAGGGAAGGAGAGTTCATTTTACATCTGGTCACACAGACCMGTGCATGAGAGGAAAAGAAAAGGTGTGTGGCAGAGCACCAGGGTCCCTTCAGCAGGTTCAGCTAAGTCCTGGTCCTGTCAGGAAGCRCTGCCTTCCCTGGGAGCTGCTCTTCTGCACACACAGTTGGGTAACACAGCTCAGGCACAGCTCAGKCACGTTGCTCCTCCCCAGCAGGCAGGAATAGGAGGCAGTTGATGGAAACTGGGAGAGCTGTGACACAAGCAGCTGGAAGCACTCTCCTGGGGCAGCAGAACCAGCCTTCCCACAGTGAGTGTCAGCAATGCCCGAGACACAAGGAGCAGCACAAAGGATCACTCATGCTCAYTTGAGGAGGGCATATATAAATGCAACATGTGAGTCAAGCTCAAGTGAAAGGACCCGGCTAGAGGCAGCGAGGAGGAAGGAAAGCATCATCTTCACAGAAGCAGCTCCCCACAGGACCCAGGTATGGGGGATGGCTGCTAACACTGATGGGAAGAGCTTGCAGAAGAGTCTCCAGAGGAACCAGCCTGGCACACGTGAGCACATTCCATTTTCAACACCTTTAAATAGCTATGAATCTCTTAAACTTACAACACAAAGAAAGCAGGAATTTAAAAATTCTGAAGTCTGAGCTCACTCTACAGCTCCAAGAAGTCACTCTCCTCACAGGTGCCCAAGTGCCCTCAACCCATCCACGCTGTCCCAAGGCCCAGCCACAAGCTCAGTTCTCAGCACAGATCCTGGCACAGCTGCCTCCACCCAGACAAGCATCCCAGGAAGAGCCATTTGCTCCCAGCCTCCTGGGTGCCACTCTGAGAACTCTCCAAAATACAGACCAGAGCAGATTTTGGGATGGCAGCRGACTCTTACTGGGAAAACATTCATGCTGAAGAGCAGCAGCATGTCAGGGGCAGCACTCCATTCACACTCCTTATT